CACCTACCTCCAGGCACATCAATAAGTCTGGATGCCTTTTCTTCTCCTGTTAATTTATCTATTGTCAGTTTATTTCAGCAGGATCAAATCTTTAGAGGGGCCGGGAAATTTCCTTTCTCCCTTTTGAAGGTAAGCCCAAATTAGGAGGATCACAAATCAGATCCTTTCGGAACTAGACTAGTGCCATGTAATCTGTACTAGAGGATTATATACCTTTGAAGAAAGAGCTTATGGGGTGCGCTCTGGATGATAGGTGGTGGCTGTGAAACCAGAAGAACTGAAACCATCAATGTGGTCAGACCCATAGTCTTAGGGTTAAGCAAAACCAACAGCAACTAAGATGATGTTGATGCATCTAGGATGAAGCATGAGCAGAGACCAAGAGAACAAGCAAATTAAATTAGAAGATAGGCCAGTCCCCATGGCATCCACTACTTTAGCATCAGCACCTCTCACAACTCTCTCTGTGGTTGTACTGAGGATCCCAAATAATTCACTGATGGAGGAAGAACAAAGCTGAGCTTCCTTCACAGTTGGCAGCTGTAATTAGGCTCACTTGCAGATGACTGACCAGGAAAGGTGAGTATAAGGAGAAATACCCCCCAATCAGAAGAGTCTTTGGGTATTTTGTTATAGCAGCACAAACTAGATGAAGACACTTATACTAGCTGGATATTTTAAGAATATCACACTGGTCCTCTATATCAATGGCATTATGCTAGTTAGATCAGGTGAACAAGGTGGTACAAAGGATCATCCAACTTTGACTATGAAGTGACCCAAGTTTAAACTATAAACAGGTCCATGAACAATAAAAAATGTCTTAGTCAACTGGTTAAAGATCTGGAATATAAAATACTGCAAATTTGAGGAAAAGAAGGCCTATAGAAAATGACTGTTTATGGACACTTGGAAATGGTCATAAAGTGTGAAGTTTTTGAATTTCATGTTAATGCCCACTCAGCCAGTTGAAATTAGGCAGACTCGGTGTTGAGACAATGATCACTTGAAATAAGTAAATGTTGTGGCAGAGATGGAAGCTAGGAATGACATCCACAGCTTGAGTTCCTACTTGACAAGTATATTTGCTTCCTGGGTCTGTCACAACAAAGTGCCATAAACTGTATGGTTTCAACAATAGAAATGTACTGTCTCACAGTTCCTGAGGCTAAAATTCTAAAGTTAGGGTGTTGACAAGGTTGGTTCCTTCCGAGGGCTGTGAAGGAGAAACAGTTTCATGCTTTCCTTAGCTTCTGGGTCTCAAGTGTTCCTTGGGTTATGGCTAGCATTCTCCTTGTGTCTTTATATTGTCTTCCCTCTCTATATTACTCTCTCTCTTCAAATGGCATCCTTTTACATAATAGCAGTCATATTGGATTGGGGTCCACCTTATTCCAATATGACTTCATTTTAACTAACTATATTTGCAACAATCCTGTTTTTAAATAAGGTCATAATCTGAACTACTAGCGGTAAGAACTTCAATATATAAACTTGGGGTGGGGGTATAATTCAACCTACAACACAAAGGATGATCTAGTTCCTGC